TATATATATATATATATATATATATATATATATATATATATATATATATATATATATATATATATATATATATGTATATATATATATATATATATATATATATATATATTATATATATATATATATATATATATATATATATATATATATATATATATATATATATATATATATATATATATATATATATATATATATATATATATATATATATATATATATATATATATATATATATATATATATATATATATATATAATTAAGGTAGGTCGATTTGAGATTTTATTTTTGAATTTTGAGTTGCGTAATGTTGCAGTTACTGTGTCTAGGTTAGAAGTGAGGTCATACCGAATCTCAAGTACCCTGGTTTAAAAATGCCTTGCGGATTTGCGTTTTAAGTCTTAATTCTGGACTAGTTTTGTTAGATTGTTTATTTCAAACGTTGCAAAAATTTATTTTAAGTCTTTTAATCTCGGTTTAAAATATCTTGTTTTGAGTTTATAAATTAACCAATAAACAAGCGTAATTGTTTTAAGAAGCCAATATCGCCCGTTTCGCTAAATCGTTTACACGCATTTAAACTTAGCAAATCTTTTTTGTATTTAAATTTCTTGTTTGTATTTTAAAGTTAGTTTTAAAATTAAATTTATTTAAAAATAGATTCAAAAATAAACTGCAATTTAAAGAAATCTTTTTATATCAAAGGTAAATACTTATAATTATTATATCTAGAGTAATGTTTTAAACAGTTTATATTACATAAGTTTTGATTTGCAATTTCTGAAGTAGATTAAAATATAAAACTTTTCAATCGAACTAATGGTTTTACTCAATTCCTGAGTACCTGAATTCATAGCCCCTTAATCTTTTCAAAAGAGTTTTATTTCTTTATTTTTTATCAAAGCAGGTTTTTAATAGTAAGTTTTGATATTTTAGGTTTTTTTGATGCTTTGGCCCCCACTAAAAACTCACGCCGTTGCCCATTACTCTAAGTGTAATACTTTATTACAGTTTACATATATAAATAATCTACAAAAATGACAAATACAAAGGCTGCAATTACACGGATGAAAAGTGAAAAAAAATATTCTGGCGGCCCATGTGAACTATGAACGACAAATCGAAGCACTTTAAGACAGGTTATTCAGTATTATTACTATCTTATTCATATAAATACAAATGCAGATATCGTATTAGTGACTCAGCAAATTAGCAATAATATAAAATCAATTTGGGCTACAGTAAACCCAAGATTACCTTCTTATAACTGACAAATCTATCATTAGGAAAGTTAAAGATCTTCTCGTACTTGTTAAGGATATTAATCGCAAGCACGGAAAAGCAAGCGCTAAAAGAAATCTTGATGCAAACTTGGACAAACTTTTTGATATTTCTGCGTGTTCCTATTCATTAGATGTGTTTCCCTGTAGTGACAGAAAAGTTTCATATAATAAAGAAAATTGCATCGAAGAACATATTGTAAACCTTTGTTCTCAAAGTAATAAAGTACCTCTGGAAGACAGAGCTTATCTTCGTGATCAGAGGAAAAAAATTGGTCCAAAAGGTGTATATTAACTTTCTTCTGTCGATAGATTATCTGTCAAAAGGATTCAAAGACTTGATAAAGAACGACAAAAAATATCTCATAGGCTAGTTAATGAAGATGAATCCCTCATAGCACAAGTAAACTTAATTGAAGAAACAAGTGGTTTGACCAATACGGAGGTAAAAATTGTATAAATACATGAAATATTTGTAACAGATGGAACAGAAAGCGTTTTATTTTATTAACTCTTTTTAAGATGAAGATGAATAGAAACCAGTAAAAAATCCTATTGGAAAATACAACTTAGTTAAACTTCCAAGACTTGCAATGAATTGGTCAGAAATGAGTGTTGGTCAAACGTAGATGCAGCCCTTGCAAACGCTTTACTACATGACATAAAACATCTCTTGAAAAATGACGTTGATATTAAAGATATTTTGATAAACAAATGCAAGATATTAAGATAGAGCCAAATCAAAAGTAAAAATCGTTAGTGAAGAGATGGACTCACTCAAAAAAAAAACAGACAATTTGTCTTGGAGTTGACCGCAAGCTCGATCAAATAACTAAAACAAGCATAGTAATAAACTTACCTCAAGGAGAAGTACTAAAGAAATGCATTGAACTTGAACATCACCTCACATTTACTTATGAAGATGGAAAATCGAGGGGAAATTATTTGACTCAATGACGATTCCTGTCACCGGTGCTACAGGTTTAGTTCTTGCTACTGAAACGTTTAATGTTTTACAAGAACATAACAGTTTGGTAAGTATACAAGCTGCTCTTCTTGATAATACTGCTACCAATACTGGACCAATAAGTGGCTTAGTGGTAAAACTAGAAGAGTTTTTAAAAAGAAAACTACATCTAATTGGATGCGCATTACATCAAAATGAACTTCCGTTACGAGCTCTTTTTGTAAAACTTGATGGTGACACAACTGGGCCAAAAAGGTTTTAGTGGTCTACTTGGCAAAAGATGTGCTGAAAATATTCAGAATAGTTTTTTTTTTTTTTTTTTTTTTTTTTTTTTTTCATGTTGATTTAGGTGCCCCAAGAAGTCCTTACGGTCTTATCAGAGAGCACCGCGGAAGAGCATTTAATAGGAAGTTCACGCCTCCTTCCTAACCGATGTCGTAAAACTTGCCCAGAGGTGGGTTTGAACCGCGGATCTTACGTTCCTGAGGCAAGTGCGCTACCACTGCGCTACGGCTGCGATCAAAGACTTTTGAATTTGAATATTGCAAAGGAATAGGCTTTGGTAAAGTTTCTAATAAATGGGCCGCCTATAAAAATGAACCGCTTAACCATGCAAGGTGGTTAACTCTAGCTATTCGCCTTCTCTGTTTGTATACTAGAGACAATCAACGAACTGTTTCTTTAAAAAAACTAGTATGTTTTATTGTTCAGGTTTACGCTCCAGCGTGGTTCGATATAAAAAAAATCTTCAAAATTTCACGAATACCCGCGCCTTATTTTTTCTACTAGCACTAGAAAAAATAATCTCTTCTTTGATGATTTTAAACATATTGTTAAAAAAAAACATTAAAAACAACGCATTGTGCCTAAAATCTGAAAATATTATTTATGCCATGTTAAAAGATAATGACAGCAAGATACGAAACTTTGGTTTTCAAATCCTACTGGGTCTAAGGGAAAGGTATTTTTTTTATAGTAAACTAAAATAAAGTCTTGAAATAAAATGATACATTAAATGTGGTAATTGGATTTGATTTATATTTATAGAGTAAACAACGAAAGTTTGGAAGTAAATTTGAAAAAAATTCTAGAAATTAATTTTAATGCTAATCATTGGTATGAGTTGGTAGATATCAGCATTGCTAAATTTACGGAGCCCCCAACAACACAACATTTTTCAATTAAGCAAATCCAATATGCGATTGACAATAATGTTAAACCTTAAACCCCCGACTTTCCATCTCACTCCCAGAGTGTTGAGCGAGCGGTTAAACTTGTATTGGACCCATCCCAATATGTTTATGGATTCGAAAATCGACACTGCTGCATTTTAACTAAACTATTTTGCAGGAAAATGCGTAAACCGTAAAAAGGTTCGTTCAAAAGGGCATTATTTCCATTCTTACGATGATAGTTTTTAATTGAAAATGTTTTCCTAAAATATATATATCCATAGCCAAAATGTTTGAAATAGTGAAAATAATGTTTACTTTGATATTCTTATGTAAATATAAGAATAAAAATTTCACTATTTAAATCTTCAAATAGTTAACAAGTTGTTATAAATTTAGCTTAATTGTTATAAACTATTGTAAACTTAAATCATACAGCAAAGCAAATAGTATTGAAAAACATTTAAATATGATTATAGTTAAAACGTCAAGTTTTGCATATAACGCTTTTTAAGGTTTTTTTTTACATAATCCAACAAATCTTAAAACAAATTGTACTTATAAGAAACTAAATACAAAATGTTAATACTTGTTTCCATAAAAAGTTTTAAATGTTAAAGCTATTATAAAATGTTAAAAGAAAAGTTATAGATTACTTTTGAAAAATAAAAAGTCATTAACAACAAAATGATTTTGCCTAAATTAAATTAAATTTCAAAAGATATTTAAAAAGATAATAGAATAAAATTTCTGTCAAATTTTAGTTTTTTTTTTTAATCTTTATCAATTTTCGAAAATAATTGCTAAAGAAGTTATAACAAATAAAATATCTAAAAAAAAAAACAATCAAAAAAAAAGTAGAACAAATAAACAAAAAAAATAAGTTAACTGGAATCACTACATGAGTCAGTGTTTAAATTTCTTTTTTTTCTAACAGGACTGTGTATTTGTATATCACTTGTTAAAGAAGAATTTCTCTTTCTTGTATCAAAATAACGACCTTTAGACTTTTTCAAGTGTTACATTCTTAGAGGAGACATATATTGGCATAATAGAAGGTGAATGGAAAAAACGTTTTGCCAATCATAAGCAATCTTTTAAAAATAAAAAGTATTCAAAAGACACCATGCTGTCAAAATATATATGGTAATTAAAAGATAAAAATATTGATGATTTTACACTGAATTGGTCCATCCTTAAAACAGTGCCTGCATATAACAATATTTCCAAAAAATGCATACTATGTCTACAAGAAAAATTTGAAACAATTACACATACAAACCAAGAATGTTTATTAAACATTCTTGGTTTGTATGTGTAATTTTTATTTCTAAAGAATTCTTTTTACAATAGTGTCAGCATACATTTTTACACAGTAATTTACTATGGTATCATGCACACACAAAATATATATATATGTATTTATACTATATTTTTTATATATATATATGTATATATATATATAAATATATATATATATATATATATATATATATATATATATATATATATATATATATATATATATATATATATATATATATATATATATATATATATATATATATATATATATATATATATATATATATATATATATATATATATATATATATATATTTATATATATGTATATATATATATATAGATAAAGAAAAAAATTGGATAAATATTTTTACTAATTTATTGGTTTTATCAACTGTATTATTTTTGAGTTTAAAATTAAAAAAAAGTAGTTATTTAAATTTTTAGACATTATTAATTAAATTGTTTTTGCAGTTTGTAAAATGTCGTGGTCAAGGGCGATTTGGCTGGAAAACAATGAGGAAGAAGAAAGAACTATTCCAGCCAAATGGATTGAAGGGAATATTGTTAGATAGCCTTTAAAATCATTAAATTTGTTAAAGCTTTACAATACACAAGTTATTCCAAAAGATGATTGGCAGTCGTTTCCTCTTATAAAAATTAAGTTTAGCAATTCTGTGTAACAATGTTTTTTTGTGTGCACTTTTAATAATTTTTTTTCTTCTTTGTTATAAATATATACAAAAGAGTTTTTATTTCAGATGATAAATATTTTTTTATTTTTTATTGTAGATGACAAAGACAATGTTGATTTGTTTAATTTCACCTCATATGATGAGTCAGATTTTGACATACGTATTTCACTAAAAAAACAAAAAATAACTTGTGCTACTAAATCATTAAAAGGTTATTACAAGTTGATTAACTCATTACTGATTTGGTTTGTTCTAGAAAGCGAAGCACTGTCCTTTTTTTTTCACGGTCCAAAAGTGAAGCTCAAAAACTTTAAGTATAATATTCTGATTTAATTTAGAATATCCAAAACCACCTTCAAATCAATTATCAACACTTTTGTTTGAAACTCTGAAGCAACTTTCTCCGGTAAAATCAAAAATTCCAAATCCTGGTAAATATTTATTTCTTTACTAGTATAGAAAATTAAAAGTTTGCTCTACTATTACACGTGGTTTGACTAATTGGTTAAAAAGTATAGCCATTTTATTTTATTTGGCTACACAGGCCAGTTTATATATGTTTATATATACAGGCCTCAGTGGGAATAAATTATATAGTGTCTTGTCATATCATCGCTTTCATTTGGCTTCTAGTCATTTTTATGGTTTGTTGTAATCGGGTCCATGTCGCTGCTTTAATGATTATGTCCCATTATGAGGGGGTCAACGATGGCTCTGTTCCGGCAGGTCTACGTCTTGAGGATGTACTGGGGATTCTTAGGTATATATATTTTATGATTATGTATTTATATATATATACATAATCGTGTCCCCGAAAACTTTTGAAGCTTATTTCATAAAGATTTTTTTTTTTTTTTTCATAAGTTAAAGTTATATGACCATATTAGGCTCTGTAAACAATAGTTTTTAGTTAAAATTTGATAATTTATGCAAAAATTTCCCATGAAGCAAAAAGATGTTTCCACATGTTTTAATCATCGAAAATCTCAATGCGTTTGAAATTAACAATGCGGGGACTTAAATATTGTGTTGAATTTCTTGTGGATTCTTATAGTTATTTAAGTTTTTTAAAAGTAAATCGTTTACTTAAGCTTGATTACATTGAAAAAAAAAAAAAAAAAAAAAGAGAAGATTTGTTTCTTAAAGCAGGTTAAAAACAAAACTTGTATTATCTTATCAAAAAATTTGCAACTCTTGTGCAGTATTCATTTTACTTAAGGAAGAAAGATAATGAAGCTGCTGAGATCTCCAAATTTATTCAATCTTTTAAGGGTTGGCAAGATTATCTATTTGGTGATACAACATACCATTTAAATAAAAAACGACAAATTAATTTAAGAAAACCATCAAGACTTCCACAAGAAGATGATTTACTTATTGTTAAAAATCACGTAATAGAGCTAATGAGTTCAATCTGCAGTAAATTTCATTTTGATGATGAAAGCAGTTATAAAAAACTTAGAAATGCTGCATGTGCACGCATAACTTTGTTAAATGGCAGAAGAGTTGGTAAACCTGCTCGAATTTTGTTAGCAGATTGGTTGCAAGGAAAAAATGATGAATGGATTGATAAACAAAGACTAAAATAACTTGACAGTTTAGACCGCATTTTAGTGAAGCGTATGAAAGTTATTTACAAGACTGGAAAAGGTAATAACCATCTAGTACCAGTAATTATTCCAGGAGACACGATTCTTGCAATGAAAAAACTTTCTAACGAATGTTTCCGTAAAGTTGGTCGCGTTCTTGCAAGTAATAAGTTTATATTTGCAAGCTCAAAAGGATCTGAATATCATGTTTTAGGGTGGCATGTTGTAAACAAAATTTGTTCGAAGTTAGTATTAAAATCACCAAAGGACATAATTGCCACCAAAAATCGGCATAGGATTAGCACACTTTTTGCATCTCTTGATGTAGAAGAAAAAGATAAAGAGTTGTTTTACTCCCATATGGGACATTCTGAAAAAATGAATCAAGATTTTTATCAGGCTCCATTGGCATTATTGGAATTAACACGTGTTCGGAAGCAACTAATGAAAATTGATGCTGGTATGTATTTTTTGTATTAGTGTCTCGCGTGTTCATAAGTACTTAAAAATTAATTTGAGTACATTAACAAATCTTTTGATTTTTATGTTCTACTTATATTTTGTAAAGCTTAATTGTCCAAAATTTTTACTAAGTATAAAGGTGTTTAAAAAGAGTTTTTAGGCCATACTTAATTTTTTTTATTTATAAAATTACAGTTTTTATTTATAAAACTACACAAAATGAACACAAAATATATTAAACTTTGTTTTGTTAAATTTACTTTAGGACAATCTGATGTGATACAGGATCTGCCTACAAAAGGTATCTGCTTTTTAATTTTTTTTTTTTAATTAAAGTGTGCTTTACAGACATCGACTAATTTTTATTGTATTATAAAATATCTAGAATCTTATAATGTTGTTGATAAAGAACCTGGTAAGAATGTTGTTGATAAAGAACCTGATGAGAATGTTGTTGATAAAGAATCTGATGAGAATATTGTTAAGGAAAATGACTCTCACACTTTAACTTTAAAAGGTTATCTATTTCAACTTTTAAAAAAGTTGTATGACATTTATAATAAATTTAAATATTTGTTTTATATTCTAAAAGATCTATATCTAGGTAGTGGTGTTTTTGGCATTAAAAAGAAAGTTTGTGATCTTCTTCTTAAGAAAATTATGATTGATAATCCAATTTTAAAAAATAAATGTTCATCATCTATATCAGGTGACTTTTAAAACTTAAAATTTTTATTTTTCAATATTTAATTAATTTTGTGTATTATCATAAAAAGCATAACTCCTCATTTAACTTTTAGATGAACAAGAAGAAATATCAGTAAAGGCAATTGAGTCAAATATTGATGCTAATTTCACTAAAGTTTTTAACGGTTTAAACCTAAAAGTTTATCCAAAAAGGTCACTCAAAAAAGGTAATTTTTTTTTTACAGCATATTAATAAAAAATATTTATTAGGCTATATTTAAAAAAAATTAATGATATAATTTGTATTATACTTTTAGTTAATTATGCAAATGTAGAAAATAATGAAGAAAAGGTTTAAAAAAGTGAATCTGATTACACTAATGAAAGCCAAGATGAGGACAGTGAAAATTAGATGAAAAACGAGATCTGAGTTCCAGTATTTTTATTTTACTCAAACTTACAAAAACTTTGTTACATTTATTTAAAATTAGAAAAGTATTTTTTCTTTAAACAAGTTCAGTTTTACCAATACAATATCTTTTAGAATCAAAACCAAGAAAGTGGACTGTAAAGCAATTTTGAAGCTTTGAATCGTTACTTTGGGGATTTTATCTGCGGAAGAATTTCTGATTGGCCTAGTAAGTAATTTTTACCATTCCATAAAAAATGTATGATTAAGAATTAAGTTGACGACTAAATTTTACGTTGTTTTTCAATTATTTTTGACATTAATCACTTTTGGATAAAAAGTAAGTTTCAAGGTTATTATAAAACACTCTAAAGCTATTGATACCACCATTTCTTTTCATAGTCTAAGAATCTGTAATCAGTTTCAGCAATATGTTTAAATATTGTAAATCTTTTTCTAGCTCGAAAAGAAATAGAAGGTTTTCGAATAAAAAATGCAATTGATTTTCCTTACTCGAAAATCCGCTCCAAATTAGTCAATGATCGCGAGAAAAACAGACGACAGATAAGTATAAGGGCCAAACTTTCGGATAAACGATGCAAAGACGTGAATATGTAGATTTTTACTCATGTAATTAAAGTATTTATTTTGGCAATTTGTTTCATTTTTTGTTGCTCTATTTAAATTCACTTTTGATATAGTACAAAATTGTACCTTTTTTTATTCTTTATTATACAGTTTATTAAAGTTTAAGCGCTTAAACCACTGTTTTTTTATTTTTTATTAAAGCGCTACTTATTAGGCTTTTTAGAAGATGTCCCCGTAATGTTCGCAATAGGCTTAAAAAACAATGCGCGGACACAAAATGCATTAAAATTTGTAAAACTCTTAGATTTAGTCTATTCTTAAAAATCATGTTAAAACACACTTTAGTTTATTATTTACTGCTATAACTTGATCGAAACATCAGCTTTATTTCAATATCAAAAAATGTCCCGAAATGTACAAAATTTTATATGTCCCCGCAATGTACTTAAAAGTAGTATATACATATATATATATACATATATATATATATATATATATATATATATATATATATATATATATATATATATATATATATGTGTGTGTGTGTGTGTGTGTATATACAGTATTGGTATTGAGAAAACATTTGCAACCTACATCAAACAATCTTAGTTGTTCCTAATTTTATGTCTTTAAAATGAAATGAACTACACTACCACAGCAAACAGTTCAGGAGTCTGGAGTCATAGCATGCCATGATATGAGCAATCAGCTGACAGTTGCAGCACACAGGCAGAATTTCGTTGACAAGTGCCATTTTGCAGCATACGAAACAAGTGCAACTTTTTGGGTTTGTTTCATTTTCTTAAGTCTGGTCCATGTCAACGTCACGGAAGTTTTTTAATAATTAAAGGAAGTATCCAGAAGTTTTCAGAAGCATGCAGAACCTTCCAGAAGTTTTTAGAAGAAGCATCAGGAAGCATCTGGAAGCATCCAGAAGTATCCAGAAATATTCAGAAGCATTCAGACGCATCCAGAAGCTTCCAGAAGTATTGAAAAGAAGCATCTAGAATCTTTCAGAACAGTTTCACACAGGTTCATTTTTGAACCTGTGTGAAACTGTTCTGGATTACAGTCTTGAATTGGAACTTAGAGAGAAAATTATTTGCGATTAATTAAGTGGAATGTCACAAAAAAGTATTTGTGACAAATATCGCGTGAAAAAATAGATCGTATCAAGACTATGTTGCAAATATTGTTCCACAGGCAGTTGGCAGCAGATAACAATGGTGGAAGATCTCATTCCACCACTTCTAGAGAGAATTTTATGATCGTCAGATCTGTCAAGAAGTATCCCTGGATATCATCAGATGAGATACAAAAGCAATTAGAGCTGCCTGTATGTCAAGCGGCCGGAAAACTGCTTGATTTACGTTACTGCCGTAAGACCGGGAGGCATGGTGGAGGCAATGTAATGATCTGGGGGTGTTTTTCTGCTAACGGTCTAGGTCCAATACATCGAATCGATGGAATAATGGACAGTTTCATGTATAAAAATATCCTGAAAGATGTTATGTTACACCATGCTGAATGGAATATACCAATAAAATGGGTTTTTCAGCAAGACAACGATCCCAAACACACTGCAAAAGTAGTCAAGCAGTGATTTCAAGACAACCATCTATTGGTCATGGATTGGCTGCTTCAATCTCCGGATCTCAAACTTATCGAGAACCTGTGGGAGATCGTTAACCGCAGAGTTATTCATGAATATGTTCTTAATAAGGATGAACTGTTTGAACAAATCCAAAAGGCCTAGGCAGCGATTCCACAAAGTTTCATTGATCACCTGATTAAATCTATGCCTTGAAGATGCAAGGCTGTGATCGACAACAAAGGATTCACCACAAAATATTGATAGCAAAATACAGCTTGGTCAACATTTTGTGGAGTTGCACTTGTTTTGTCCAGAAGGAAATCAACTTTTTTTAATACTTTTGATTAATTTATTAATTTTCGTGTACAAATAATGAACTTTGTGATGAATAAAATTTGAAGAACGTTGTTTCTAAGCAGTTACATAGTTATTTCTCTAAATTGAAAAAATGCAGCACTTTTATACAAAGAAACTAAATTAGCATCATTTGGTTGCACTCGCATTGCCCGATATTGTATGTATATATATATATATATATATATATATATATATATATATATATATATATATATGAAGACCACACGGGTAAAACCACAGATGTCACATTTTTCTCATTTCGAGAAAAATGAAATTTAGTGTTTAGTGACTTTAGATATCTGTTTATTAATAATTTATTTAATTAAAAGTATATTTTTCTGACATTTTAGTCCTTATACAATATAAAAACGCAGTTTTTGTGCTAAATACAAGTATTATTTATTCACAATGTTCTTTTGAAAACAAGACACTCATTTTGGACATCTGTTGTTTTTCCGTTGTAAACTCATCAACTCGTAAATTACGTTAGATTGTAACCTTTAAGAGCACTTATTTTTTTTTAAGGTAGATGGTAACACATTGTAATTTACAACTACAACGTACTAAGTGTGTGAAGGGATAATAAAGCCACCGCCCCCTCCCCCTCTTTTAATAAAAAAAATTCGATTCACGTTCACAGAAAAACATTTTAAAAAATCAAAATGTTTTTTAAAATGTTTTTCTGTGAACGTAATGTTGTTTACTTCATCCGAAAAGTTAGTCATGTGACTTACGCTTTTATTATCATTGGTTTAGTTAAAAATAACTTGTTTTTTACGCGGTAAACATTGGACAACAGTGGTTGTTTCAAAGTTGCCCTTTTTTTTAAATGACCATAGAACCTTAAAACATAGTTTTTTTGTTATGAATTTTTAAATTAAAATAGGTTAATACTAAAATATCATAAAAATATATAAAACTTGAAATTTTCAAAAAGTGGACATCTGTGGTTTTACCCGTGTGGTCTTCATATATATATATATATATATATATATATATATATATATATATATATATATATATATTATTTTATAAAAATAGATTCATAAATCTACATGTCTTTTAAAGTCATTTAAATGTCATTAATGTATATATTTTAGATATCGGCGACGTGGAAGAAAATGTTGACGGCAATGAAGAAATATAGCTTCTCATGTATATTTTTGTGAAATAAAAATTAAGTAATGTTAGTTAAAATGTTTCTTTATTTATTTAATTTAATCCTTTTTTATAATTAATTCAACCGCTGTAACACCTTTGTATCGAACAAGTCCCAGCAAACAAAAAGATATCTAAAATGCATCTAATATGCATCTAAAAACTGGTCTAAAAGACGTCTAAATTCACGTCGTGAACGGAACATAAATAGATGTCTATCTTATAGATGTCTTTTAAATGCATTTTATTCGACACAAATAAATGCCTTAGATGCCTTAAAGATGTGAAATATACATTTAAAGATGTATAGTAGATATATATTAGATGCATAAAAGAGCTATTATTAGCTAAAAAATTATCTATTATCTATCTTTTTTAAATATAGATATCTATTTAAGAGACGTATTTTATACATCTAATATGCATCTGTAAGATGTATATTTCACATCTTTTATGCATCTGAGGCAATTATTTGTGTCGAATAAAATGCATCTAAAAAACGTCTATAAGATAGATGTCTATTTATGTCCCGTTCTAGACCTAAATTTAGACATCTTTTAGACCAGTTTTTAGATGCATATTAGATATTTTTTTGTTTGCTGGGTATGTGCTGTTAGTGTGCACATTAAATCCAGTTTCATCCAAATAAATAAGTTTTTCACTTGAAGTTCCGTTTATCTCGCTTGCAAATGCATAGCGTGCATTAATAACCGGTGTTGAGTTTCGTTCTTCAGCACATGCACAACACGTTTTCTTGATAAATCTGAGCGTTTGAGTTTTCTTGAAATAGTAGACTAAGACATGTTGAAGCCTGCTGGAGAATGATATTTTTTTATTGCTTCTTGCGTGCAAAGATTGTTTTCTTGTACGCATAATTCGATAATATTTTTTATTTGAGAGTTTATAGGTCTTTTACCTCGTTTTTTATCAGAAAACGACTTGAATACAGTCATATCGTCGAATTACCCTATGTTTAACTTAACGACAATATTTTGAACTGCGCGCTTTGATAAATTAAGAGAAGTGGGAATGCTTGTTGTAGATTGAGTTCTTTTAATTAAATGCTTAAGCATTTCAATGTGTTCTTTTGTAACATTTTCCCTTGTTTTACGATTGGTACTGCTACTTTCTATTCCATCCATAGGGATGTAAAATTTGATATTAATAACAATTATAAATAATTAAATTTAAATCTAAATAAATGAACAATTTGATAAATAATAACTTAATCAATCAAGAAATTTAATAATAAAAGTACAAAGAACTAATACTAAATTAAATAAACTATCATCGAAAACAAAGAACTAATACTAATTTAAATAAACCATCGTCGAATGTAAAAAGCCTTCGATTTTTAACCTCATTTACCTGGAAATAAGAAAAATTTGTTTTTGAAAAAACTGTTTTTTCAAAACAAATTGCTTAAATGATTTTTTTTTTTGTTTAAATTGATTTTTTACAATTGCTTTTGTAAAACGCATATAAGAATGACTAAAAGCGCATATAAAAATGAATAAATGCGCATATATGGATAAATAAATGCGCATATAAAAACTAGAGATGTGCCGGAACCAGTTTATGCCGAGTCTCCGATTCCGGGTACCCTGCTGAAAAAACCGGGTCCGAGTCCAGGTACTCGGCACCAAGTCCATTTTTAAAAAGTTGGAATAAAAACTTGTCAAAATTTCTTGTGTTCTAACAGAATAAAAAGAAGCTATTTTAAAACTTTTTTTCCTATTTTTTTTATTCGTATTCTCGAATTATTTCATTTAGCGTTACAGTTTTTGTATCCGTATAAATTTTTTTTGCAGAAATGTATTAACAAATATTTTAAGTGAGATTGTTTTAAGTTAATAGAACTTTGTGGTTATCGACTACATAACAATCTTAGACTTATATCAGAAAGTTTAATGGTTAAAGTTTAACTAAAGGAAAAATCAGTTTGAAGATACCCG